AGTTTTGTTTCTTTATTTACCACAAAAGGAAAATGTTAGTAACAGCTCTTCTCTGAGTATCTTTCTTACTAATTTGAGTAGGCTCTTTTTTTAAGTGACTTTTAACTTTGATGTTGTTAAACACAGCCACACTCTGAAGACTCTCAGTACTGGTGAATCTGTTTTCCCGGAATATCTTGTGTTGTTTTCAGAATTGCATGATTGTGTGACATCTGCTCTACATCTCATATGTGATCGACTGAGTAGGTACAACTGTGGCAGACGGCTGATGACTCACCTCACAACACTGAACACTGGTTTGCTTTCTGAGAAGCAACATCTTCATATTAATTTTCTAAGAGTCTTGCAAAGGTGTGACCAGTGTGCCTGGTTTGATAGCAGGTAATGTAAGTTACAGGAAATGCACAGGGATACAACAGCAACATTTATTCTAGGAATGGGGGTAAAATTTTAAAATTCAATTTTTGGGCTATTACCAGATAAATCCACAAAAGGAAATTAGGTTCACTGCTGTACTTTCTAAATTTTAGGCATCTAAATAGCAAAATCTGGATCCCTGAATCAGACGTAGAACTAGGCTTCCTATGCAAGGGAGATGATACAGAATAATATCCGCAGAAGCCATTCACTTGAATGAGGAATCAGGAAACGCCAGAGAAAAGGATATACCTTAAACCCTGTTCTCTCTGTGATTTGGCTGCCCTGTTGCAGGCTGGGGGGAATACCATGAAGATTCACAGATCACAGACCTGGGTAGAAGGACGTTCCCAGCTCTTCTAACATCCCATGATAGATAACGTATGCACCTGCTATACCGGAGGCCTTTGATCTGTTCCCTCCCCTGTTGACTGTCAGATTGAAACAGGCACAGCCTAGTTAGCACGCGTAGCTTGGGTAGGCTAAGTTCTGATCAGTTGTAAGAAAACTATTGCAAGAAGCCACAAGTTTACTTATAGTGACGCTACCTTGCAAAGTTAACTTTCTTCATTACCAAAATTAAAGAACCTCGGTAACAGTTTATTATCCTCTCTCATTCTTACAGACTCGTTGGCCTGGCAGAACAAGATGACTGGAGGGAGCTCCAAAGAGCCATTCCTAAACCACTTAATTTACAGCACTATATACCAAGCCATCACATGCGTATATTAATTTAAAGCTAAATATTGTTATATACATTGCAATAGCTTAAATCAATAAACATCAACTTGTTTGCATGTGCAAGATTTCCATATTAAAAATGTAATTAGTGTTATAACAACCATATCCATATCCAAATCCTTTAGGATCAAAAAACCCATGCCAGCCTCGCAAGCATCACATCAAAATGTGACCACCCAGCTTCAACATGCTTCAGTCCCAAAGACTAACACATCAAAATGCTTTAGTGGCCTGTTAACTATTTTTTATTTTTAATCTTTCTGTGGCAGAGATGTGTCATTCCCGTTTCCACCACCCTTATGTCAACTAACAAAAGTTCCTAATGAGCCAACTCTCTCGGAGGCTTAACTGCTAACGCCATTAACATTACCAAAGACCTGTGCATGACTAACAGCTGTGTCCTAAGGAAACTGAACTCATACCTTCCATTTCCACATAAACTGCCCTAAAGTTAAGGAGTATCCCAGGAAGAAAAGAAGGGAGGAGATGATGGGTAGAGAGGAAAGAAGGAAGATGTTGTCATTGCTGATTCTGATTCATCCTGTATGGAACATATATTAATCAGGTCTGACAGAGGAAGCCAGCAAGGGCGAGAAGGACTACAATCCAGTAGTTACAAAGACATATTAATTATATTAAGGGCTTGAACATAGTTCTTTTTCAAAGGTGAATGCCATGTCCACAAGTATTTGGAGTCATGTTCTCCATCCCTCTAGCCCAAAGCATACTCCATTAAAAAATAATGGAAGTGCTTCAGCAGAAAAGATTTAAAGTACCTCTGTCCAGAATAACCTAGAACTCAGTAGCCAGAGCTATAGCCACAGAAATGGACCACAGCATTCATGCTCCTGGTGACAGGGATGGGAAGTGAGCATGTCTGCCCTACACCCTGGGTAAGTATTCCCACTACCGGGCAATGCCTCAAAGGGAAACTGCCTCTCTCCTATCATTTTATGGGCACCTGTGGATATGTTCCTAAAATACCCTCCCGGGTGACTCTTGCTGCAGGGCTTTAGACATTAGAAAGGCATTGCTGAGCAGCATTAAGACAAAAGCTTTAGTTGTATTTAAATGATTGATACGGTTAGTTTCTTTGAACTGCCACAGTCTGACTACTATCTGCTAAACATAAAGGAAATTCTTAAAACGGTACTGGTATCACTTATATTCCTTGACAATTGGTAACTAAAAAACCCAGCATGTCCCAAACCAGCAAAAGTTGAGTCTCCCTCCCCCAAATGGTATGTAATGATGGTAGTTAATTCACACAGAAAAGATCTTTTGGGGCTGATACTTCTCTCATAGTAATTTTATGTCATTCAAGTTCCACTAACAACTGCTGAGTTTACACCATGGTGCCAAAGAGGTATATTAGATCCTTCAACTTCAAGCTATCCAGAGCTTACTCGGCTCATTTGGCACCTCTGTGTTGCTGACACATGCAGAACTTTAACAGATGGCCTTACAATACTGGCAGTTGTTTTGTACTGTGCTAGTGGTGAGGGGAAATACTCTACACAAATTGTCTGCAATTCTGGAAAGTAAATGAAGTACAAATCCATATTAACCTCAAAAGCCAAACTATAAAAAGTCAGATTAGTCATTTAACGATGTCTGTGCTCTGGGTTAAATGCTTAGTTGCTGCAAAATGGCAATATTTCCCTGCAGCCAGGATAACTATGCTTTGCTTCAGTTTCTAGCAGGAATATCCATAAAAACTGTATCATTAGAAAGGTATCGAAATGCGTTAGGAATAAGCCCTGAGATCCTTCCTCATGTGATCAGCCCTGACTATCAGCAAAAGTACCTCCATAAACTGGCTGTTTTCACACAAATAGTGAAGCAACAGTGTGCAACTTAACCAAATCTCTGTTTTTTCCCGTGCCAAACAGAATTCAAGAAATAACACATCAGCTACTGTGCAAACGTCAAAATCAACAGTGACAACCAAGTAAACAGCAATCTTACATTTTTCCTGACCTATTAAAAAAGAGCTATACGTACCACAAGCTGAATTTTACACTCACTAATTTCACTGGCTGCAGTGGAACTTGCACTGTACATAAAAGACAAGAATTGCTCCTCCTTGTTTCTGTGTGGCTAAATTTTTCTCTTTTATTGTGCCAAATTATCAGATATATCAATTGGGTTGAACTAGTAAACCACATATGCAGAATAGTGCTTTTCAAAAGTAAACCCAGCAATTTCCTTCACCAGTATATAACGTTCATGAAATGTATGTTCACACATACGTATTACAGTCTACTACTGCAAATTTAGAACAGGCTTTTAGAAAATCACAAATGTTTTAGTCCAATGCTCACCTCTTCTATTTGCTTTAAATGAAACATAGCTTGAAAGATATTTCAAACTGAGACTTCAGAGGCTTGGTCACTCAGTTCCCCATTTCATCCATATCAATATATTTAGTTAGATAATATGTCAGTCACCTTGCACGTTATTTTCACAATGTTAGTTACATTGAAATACAGTTCCCTTAGGTAGCTTCAAAGCCCTAGAAGGAAGTGGAACCCTAAAAGCATTATCATAAAAGAGTCCTTCGAATGCAAGAGGTACATTCCAGTCTTCTGCTGAGACTGAATCAAAGCTGTAACCATTTTTTTTAAATTTTATTTTATCCACTAAGTTTGCTTAAAAAACATGGTTGCTGGAACTGACTGATGTTATAGATTTGTGACTTTGATACGAGTGAAAAGATCTTTATCAGTTTTATGTCTAATTTTATACTGAAAGATCAAACAACTCCTAAGTTTGAAGCTGTTAACAAAAAAAATATTAAAACAACTAAATTTCAGATAGGTTTCATGTTTTCTTTTCCTCCGTCAGGACTCTTGCCAGACTAAGATGACACAACATAATTCCAGAAAGTACTTATACAAATGCAAGATAATCCATCTCTGAACGCATAAATTATTTCTCCTCATGAAAAAAGAAAAATCAAAAGAAATGTTAAACAGGCACAGTCAAAATGTAGGAACATCAATCCCTCTGCTTCTGTTCCCAGGCATAAACATTTTGTCAAACATTTCAAGCTATGATCCTCAATGTAGCACTTCGCTGTGAAATTCCCAGGAGAGGAGTTGGTATACATATTTTAGTACCAATAATGCAAGCACGTCCCATCCTGGGAAGAGGTCCTCCCTTACAGATGCAGAGTACGAGATAACACGATGGGAAAACTTCATGACCATCCTTCCACTACTGAGAGCATTACTGAGAGCCTTCCCAGCTTCTACAACAACTGGTCACGGCTACCCCCTTCCTTGAGCCCGTCCTCTGCAGAGCTCGCCACAGGTCCACGGTGAACATTTCTTGCTCTTGGAACTTATAGAAACCTTTCTGGCAAGAGGGACATGAAACGAAAGGGGTCTCTTGGGGAAACAAAAGGCAAAGGGAAGGGAATAGGAGCACAGGATTTATTTTATCCATCCTAACAATATCCAGCACTCTACCAGACACCTTGTAGTTAAGGTTCAAGTAGTCTTGGACTAAACAATAATGGAATCATCTGCCTACAGCTGCAAGCAAAGGTCATTCTTAATGATTTGGAATGCTACACTTGGTAAAACAGTAGAGATTCAGGGGATTTATAAATCTAAAAGAGAACAAAAACACAAGTGCAACATTTCCACAAAGAGATTACGTCTGTTAGTGAATACAGATCTTTGCGCTGCAATTCATGTCCCAAGCTGGGCATTACTCAATTTTGATATAACAAAATCCTATGGAATCAAAACGCAGTTTGCATTTGTGATTTATCTCTTTGCGCTTCCTACCTAGTATTTTCTGAAATAATATCCAAAATCTTTCTTCTTAAATACCTTTATAGTTTCAGTAGGCACTCCAGGCTCTGGGACTTTGTCCAAGTAAGTAGTCAAGTCTTGATCCACGTGTTCAAACACTAATGTTAACTTGGTCTCTCTGTCTGTTCGTGACACGGTGCACACATCAAACAATCTGAGAGGAGGAAAAGAAAAGAGGAAGTAAGTATACAGGAACCAGTACAGACATACATACCTTGCAGCTCATACATGTCTATTTAAATTTCTTACAGTATATAGAATGGAAAAAAGAGCTTTCCAAAGGTAGAGCAATCTTTGAGCTCTTGATTCATCAGATAACTACTGATACATCAATAATATAATTTCTCTCTTTCATGTGTGGATTCTGAAACAGGATTAAGTATTAAGAATTCATCAGCTGTTCAAAGTAAAATAATTACATGAAAAGAAAATATTTTTTGGACAGAGCAATTAGAGTCACTGCATAAAATTACTTGATATTTATCCACATTCTATGCTACAGCACTTACAGTCATTTTACATAAAGAAAAATTGCGAGAAATTTTTGAGAAAACATACAGGGTGTTTACATGCACCTTCATTTTCTTCCCACATAACTCCCATGCCCACCATTACACGGCTTATAATTGAATCTCCTTTGGCAGAATCAGAATATTTTTTTCTGATTATTCTTGCAAGTTCCTGGATGCAAGGAATGCCTTCGGAGTCAGGATACAGTCTGGAAAAAAGCTTTGTGCATAAGATGGCAGTACTAAGAAAGCTTTCTTCTCTCATCACTTTCTGTCATTCTTTTACTGAAATTTCTCTATCATTTCACCTTGTTGCACAACATCAAATTCAAACTAATTTGGAGTTTTTCATAATGTCACATTCCTATCTGATTATTTTCTATTGTTTTCTCTTTTTAATTAGGATTTCTCTCATCTTCTCCACTTCATCTACTGTACCAGCTTTAATCACTGTTTTATCTTTTTCACAAACAACTGCCCATCCTTCTATGCTTCACACCTATACTCTTACCAGTGACTTTCGCTATCCTTCCTCAAGTCCCACTTCTACAAAATCACAATAGGAAACCATCTTACAGATGGAAGGACGCTTATTCCCCACTCACGTACTTTAGGAATGTGTTTATTCATTTAGTTTTAAATTGTACAGATCAGATTGCCTTTCTCTCTGAAGTGAGGCAGAAAATCAATCGCCACTTTTATTAGGTGACAGTGGATTTAAAAAATGTATGAATACAGTTATTGAGAAAAAAGTCTATTCTGTAAAACTGAAGAACCTATCATTGATAACAAACCAAAGTATTGTTGATACTACTGCTTATTTTGGTCAACATCATAGCAGTTACGTTGTTTTATTACATGTATCTTTTATCCTCTTTCTTAGAATAACTGCTTCCTTACTTTGTGCAAAGTGCAGGATTTCTGATAACATTATCAAGTAATATTTTTATTCTTTGTCCTAGGACTAAAGGCTTTATATGCAGGATCTGCAGACAACAGATCACGCACAAAGCCTTGGGGGTCACTGCTTTTCAAAGAGGACATCCGACAAACAGACTAGGAAAACACTTTGTTCTGAGTTCTTACATCTTACCTTAAATCTCAAAATATTTCACAAGAGAAAGGGAGATAAGAATTGGCACAACTATCTGTGAAGACTGTAATCCAGGTTTAAGAGAACAGTATGTTTCACTTGAGATGATATAGATTTAACATGTTAAGGCCGTGGTCCCACTTTAACAGCATTTCCTAAATAACCTTTGGTCAGACACTTGAAATTGTTTATTAGCCACCATGGTTTGAAAATGGATGCATGCACATTCCTTTTAGCTTAAAGAAGCTTTTTGTGAGTAACAATTTGGGAACCAGAGTTACAGAATATGGAGAGACTGTCACCCTACCTCTACTAGAAGACTAATTTGTACTTAATCTGTAATCATCATATGAACAAATATTAATTAAATTATTATGGTAATGTAGTGACTGTAACAGCAAATGTCTCGGCACATTTCTCATAAAGACGAATACTGGTCTCTTTATGATTCCCTTAATGGGGCGTACACGGAAGATAGATGTCTTGTACACAGTAAATCAGTTTTGTGAAAAGTCACAAACCTTCCTGAAAAGTGAAATTTGCTGGTATTTGGCTGGAGGTTAATAATCTGCAATATATTTATATAAATCAATGTGGAATGTAGCCGGACTGCCTATAACCCCAACACATGCAAATAGAGAGGAACCAGACAGGTCTGAACATCTGAACATAAACACTGGAAAATATTTCCAACTGTATGATCCCTTTGTGTTGACCTACATTTACCTAAAAATGTTCTAAAACACCTTTTTTGCCAGGTATTTAATACACTGGCAAAATTCTCTTTTCAACTATAGCAGAATTATAATTCAAGAAAAAAAGGAAAAAAGATTTCACTGTATAGAATATAGAAGCGACATGTAATTCCCAACTCACTGTGGAGGGAAATGCTGATTCTCTGATTAATTCTTCCGTATGTGGCTTTTTGATTCTGGCATTTTCTGGCACAGCAAAATAAGGAACTCAGAGGAGCGCAATTCCAGTCACCTATTACTGAGTGATAATGTTATCACTGAGTAATAATATTATCTTTCCTTTTTATACACCCTTTATGTGAAACTTTAAATGCTTTACTGTTAATAATAAAGACTCCAGATCCTGCACCGGGCTGGGTGGAAGCACATTGTGTTTACTCACAGAAAATACAGCTGCTGCCTTAGAAAGATAATAATTTAAAGCACAGCTTATATGAATCCAAAATATTACAAAAAGACAACATCTGGCATTGCCCGTGCTAATCATTCTGGAAATAGATTGAGAAAGACACAGCCTCTTTATTGAGTAGTTTCCATAGGGATAAAACTGCTTTTTATAAATTATATTCTTTTACACCCACTGTGAGAAAATCATCCGTAAAGTTGTCTTCTTTAGCTAGGAACATCTCTGCTGTTTACAGTGCACATCTCTCAAGCCATTTCCTCATGATTTTCTGTACGTGACGGGTTAGTTTTGCATGTGATTGCCTCTCTGGAACAGGCAACAGCAAAAGGCCTTTTATTTAAAGAGCTACTATGTGGACACTGTCCTAAGTGAAGTAAATGTACCTCAATTAATACAGGATTTCCATACTGAACACTTTGTAAACACAAGCCCTGCCCTTCTATTGTACTTACTTATAAAAGAAACGTTTGAATTATTTGATTACAGTAAGATCCGCTATGGGAAATCCTGCAAGTATTTAACAAGATGTTTGGCTGGGAGTCATACACGGCCTGGTGTGTCGATCTGAACTGGAACATTGTTGAACAGACACGGAGTACCTGTGTTTTAATGCAGACTTTTTTCCAAGTTAATTGTACTAAAGTCAAAAAAGCTTATCAGCTACAAACCTATGTCTCTGTTTTATTTTATGTGTCTAGTGCCTAGTGGATCTTACTATAGCCTAGCAGAATACCTGCCTTCCAACAAAAATACTTAGGCTTTTTTGAACACAGAAAACTAGATGATGAGTCTTGAAGTCTCTTGTCATGTGATCTGACAAATGCAACCTCAGTTCATCTTCATTTTACAATATACAGTCTGAATGCTTAATGCTTTTATAAGAAAAGACACAGCTATGCCAATTCCTTTGAAAACTATTGCGTCTACTGACTGGTACTAATTTGGTAACTGTTTCTAGAAAGTCCTTAAATGTTACTGGACTTGCTTTTGAGATGCTCTGAGAACTGCTATAAAGTTACCCACTTTCAAGTGGAATAAACATTTTTTTTCTGAGCAAACTGAGGTAACAGCGATGGAGATCAAACCCATCAGCCCAAGCCACCTGCAAGAAATACCAAAAAACAGATCTGACTGTAAGAGCTGAAAAACTGTAGGACATCAGTTCTCTTGGCTATTGTCAAACACATGAGTAAGTACATCGGGAGAATTAGCCAGATCATAGTCAAAGGGAAGACCAAAGAAGTAGAATCTTGCTGCCAATGCATCCAAAGGCTTATTGTTATTTTCATTGCAGTCGGACTAATCCAACACGAACAGATATCCCTTTACTTTGCTGGTCACTCACAGCACTGAACAAAACCACAGTGCTTGCCCTTTAAAGTTTTTCAGTAACATGGATTTACTTTAATTTTTGTGGGAACAGTGTCTTCCTAGGAAGAGTTACTTCCTAGCTTATGCATGACAGAGAAAGAGAACTGGAGCCATTGATTTACGAGTAGGAGAAATGTTTAAGAAGAATGTGGTGTGGTAAGTAGTGGCATAGTAATATGCTACAGTTTTAAGGTTTCATAAGTCTGGACAAAGACTCAGATGGAAAGAGTTTGGTGGTCTCAACCTAACTCCGAAAGGTATTTATCCACATGACAGAAAACCAGCACAGAATTTACGTGTGATTGACAGTGTTTATGCAAACACCACAAGATGGGGATACCAAGACTATTACAGGTCGTGACTAAGGTTCATTGACAATACTGGGGGGAGGGAGCCTGAATAGCTTCTGCTTTCACTGCCTTTGGCTCAGGTTAATCCTGTGAGTTCATAATTTTCAAGGGCACAGAAAATTTCAGCCCCTCATACCTAAAAGCATTGAAGAATGACAGTCAGGCATCCTTTGAGTCCAAATTTCAGAGCAGCCTTAGACTCTTCTGTTCTCTGAAGCCACTCAGCAGCAAGCCCTTCGTTCACTCCAAATTCTTAAACTACGTACTCTGAAAAAAACAGTTTTCCCCATACTTTTAATATTAGCTACCTTCTCCTTTCTTGCTTTTGAAGAGGAAAAAGACTCTGCTAACAGAAACCAGTCTCTACTTGGAATCATGTATACCCAATGTATTGTAACAAAGGGGTCGTATTTCAGATGAAGAAGACAATAGCTGGGCAAGTGGAGTGGAACATGTGCGTTAAGAGAACCATGTCCCACGTAGCAAAACAGGAAATAGAGCTTCACACTCTGAAATATATGACAGAGCTCTTTCCCGTTGTTCAGGACATTTTTCAGGACATGCTGTTTTGTCTCATCTTAATCAGCAATCACCTACTCCTCCATGCCTCTGAAAGCTGGTATTTCAGATGTAGATTTTTCTCACTTGAAGGAGCTTTAGTGAAGTACTT